TGGGGTTATCCACCAGAGCACTTGCCCTCATACACCTCAACAGAATGGGGTTGCAGAAAGGAAGAATAGGCACATCTTGGAGGTGGCTAGAAGTATTATGTTTACCTCYAATGWYCCTATTCGCTTCTGGGGTGATGCTATCCTCACGGCGGTATATCTTATTAATCGGGTTCCTTCTCAGGTTCTTGAAATGAAACCTCCTTTTTCCCTTCTATACCCAAATGAGGAGTTGTTTACTATTCCCCTTAAAACATTTGGTTGTACCTGTTTTGTTTAGCTTCTCGGACCCTATCACTCCAAGTTTGAACCAAAGTCCTCCAAATGCATCTTGGTGAAACTTAATGATACTAACTACATTCCATTGGCCAAGTCAGTTGAGACATCTCTCATTGCAATATTTGGGATACAACAATGGAGATTTGGGACCATGCCAAAAAGTTGTATTCTGGACAAGACAATGTCACAAGAATTTACTAGTTATACTAGGACTATTTTTCTCTTCAACAAGGGGATAAAATGTGTTGAAAACTACTATGCTTCTTTAAAAATCATAAGGGATAAACTTAATGTTTATCAACCCCTATCCACTGATTTGAAGACAAAAAGAAAAAAGAGAACATCTAGATGTTGTAAGCTTTTTATCTAGGTCGAGGTTTGAATTTGAATTAGCGTGGGCCCAAACCTTAGGTAGCAATGATCTTTCATCTTTTTCTGAGGTTTTCTCCGGCATATGGAAAGCCTCAACTCCACATAGTGATCATGCCCCGCCTTTAGAGGGATCAGTCATGGTATCTTCTAGAGGAGGTTTTACTGGTAGAGGTATGCATGGTAGAGGTGGAAGTAGTGCAAGGGGTTTTTCTGTGGGCCCAGGGGTGGATGTGGAGGGGGTAAAGAGGCAGGAGGTATAAGAGGTGGTGCTGGTGTCCGTAGTTCAGCTCGTGAGTGCTCACATTGTGGACGAGAAAGTCACACGGTCAACTTTTTTTATAATCACTTTGTCTCTTCCTAGGCTAACCATGCTATGGTGAAAGATGATTTTGGGAGTCTTAGTGTGATTGAAGAGTACGAAAAGCTTTGCTAATCTTCTTCTTCCAGTGCTACCATTGCTACACTTGTGAAGTCAGGCATTGACTGCCTTGTTTTTAGTTCTACACCTTCACCCTTGGTAATTGATTCTAGAGCCTTGGACCATATGACTGGCTCCTCAGATATGTTTGTATCTGTTAGAGTCAGCTGTAGAGGGGTAGTAGAGCCAATTTACATTGTGTTGTATGCTTGATGTAGTT